GAAGGCGAACCTTTTCCAGTGCCCTTTTTGTACCCAGGTGGCCACTCGTCCTTCCCGCGTGCAACTCTTGAAGTATCCCCCCACGATACACCTGCGAATACACATTCCCTCCATCGTTGGACTCCCATCGACGCTGTAAAATATCTTGTCTCACTGCAAGTTGGTCCCACTGCAGCCAATAATTATTTGCAGCCTTTGATTTCGGAGAAACAATCTCCAAATCCGGCGGTGTCCCTGACTCTTCCATAGCTTGAATAATCCTTGAGTTGTTCCTCTCTCCAATCTTCTTTGACTTGGGGCTGCATCCCCACCACGCGTAAGTCCGCCCGAACCTACTTGCTCTGGAATGAAGTGTCCGTTGCCCCACTTCTTTCCACCGATTTCTCCACATCTACGATATGGACAACTTCCTCTCCTTTGCACTGCGAGCAAGGTCCACGTGAAAGGCTAACAGCATTTTGATGTGACCTACCAGCCCGATGGACTGTCTTGAAGTCAAACTCTCCTACGATCTGAAGCCAACGCGCTGTTTGCCCAGTCGGGTCCTTAAAGGGGCCATCTTAAGGCCCCAAGGTCAGTCCTTATTGTGATTTGTCGTCCGATTAGATGTAAGGCCTGAACTGCCTCAGAAAAGTGATAAGTGCGAACAGCTCCCTGCGTGTAACGCTATAGCTCTGCTCAGCTTTCTTCATAACCCTACTGGCATAAGCCACAACTTGCTCTTGGCCATCCTTAAGCTGTGATAATACTCTCCGATTCCTGACGCTGTAGTATTAGTATCGAGAATGAATTCCAGCTCAGGGTCTGGATACGTCAAGATCGGTGAGCTGACGAGTCGACCCTGGAGTTCCCGAAGCATTCCCTAGACCAATCAAATGTCCATGACTTTCACTCAGACGATGCAAGGGTCTCACAATGTTGAAAACCCCAGGATAAATCTCCTGTAGTAGGACGCCAGTCCTAAGAAACTACGAACCTCCTTCGCTGATTCCGGTGTAGGCCAGTCCCTTACTACCTGCACCTTTTCAGGGTCCGTTTCGACTCCAGCCGCCGAGACGATATGACCCAGTTAATGAACCCTTTGCTTAACAAGTTCACATAAAATTTTCTGAGTTTCAATTCCAGCCATACGTCCCTTAGACGTTGAAACAAGCAGCTTGAGGTGGCTGATCTCCTCTGAAACTGTCCTTCCAAACACAATAACGTCTTCCAGGTAGACGAGAAGAATATCCCAGTGTAAGCCAAGGAGAACTCTCTCTATCTATGAGCCTTTTCGAACGTTGACGGCGCATTGAACATGCCGAAGGGCATGACGCGCCAGTTATACAGTCCACTCCTGGCAGCGAAAGCAGACTTCTCCGCGTCGTCACCAAGGGCCACCTGCAAGTAACCCGAAGTAAGGTCTAGGGTTTAAAACCAGCATAATCCAGTGAGAGCGTCCAGAGAATCAACAATTCTTGGGATAGGGAATGCGTCTTCTACGGTCATGGCGTTACGTTTTTTTTTTTAAATCTACGCACAGCCTCTTCGTGCCATCATTTTTTCTTACTAATACCACATTTGAGGTCCACGGGCTGTTTGAAAGTTCAATTTGCCCTTCTTTAAGTAAGTCCTGAACTTGCTTGTATATTTCCTCCTGCTCTGCTGCAGGGAGCCTCCGTAGTCTCTCTCGTCTTGGTCTTGCGTTCCCAGTCTCTATTTTATGCTTCACTAAGTCGGTGTGTCCTATGTCGTCCTTATTCCTTGAAAAGATTTCCTCGTGGTCACCCAACAGTCCTGTTATCTGTGTATGAAATTCTGGGTCGACCCCTTCGAAACTCCTGTCATCTCGGTCCCTTAAATGCTCTGGTAATTCCTCTGGCTGCTTTCCTTTCGAGCATTCCTGCTGCTCTACGTCGCCTTCATGCACGAATGTAAGGAGCCCTGCCATACTCCCTTCCTTCACTACGCACTCCCGCCGTCCGGGATTAAACACCCGGATTGGCAACTTCCTTCCTCTGGTTTGACGAGTAGTCTTGCCACTACCAGTCCCGTGCTCATAAGTTCACTTTCACCTGCAAGTTCCAGTACCCCCAGTCCTTCTACTTCAGTTGCAACTCGGCTTAACACAAGGGCCTCGTGTCCTGGCGGCTCCATGGTTGACTCTTGAACCAGAACTCTGGCACAAAAATCCGCCCCTTGGCTGTGTCAGCCAACTTGATACACTCGCCGTTCACGGTGAACGTCAAGTCTTTAAAATCCAGTCTTCCATGGGTTGGCAATAAAAAAGTCCATGCCGAGGATTCCCTCGACCTCCAATACAATGCAAACCGTAATCACTGACCTCCCTACCTGGACTTCTAAGCAGGCAGTCCCCATTGTTTTGATTAAAGTCCCATCTGCACCATGTACTTCTTCTCCTTCCGTTACTAACTTAAGTCTTCACTCTTATGGAATCATGAAGTACACCGATGAAGACAGTAGGGTGATTGTGGCTCCCGTGTCGACCGGCATGGTAACTTTTACTCTCCTGATCAATGCTGGTACAAACAGTCCACAGCGTTGGTTCTTTCTTAAAGTTGGCACTTCAAGGGTGGGCAAATCTTTCTTGAAACCTGAGGATGCTTCCTCACGGGGTTCTCCTTCTGGTAATTGTGGATCCCTTTCAAGGGCTATTACTGTGCCTGCCCCTTAGGAGTGGTCGTCTCCGGATTTTCTCGACCCCTTGTTTGCTTTAGCCGGCTCACGGGTCCCTGAGACGGCCGGTTGTCGTTTCTTATCTTCCTTGGTCTCCTGACCTTCGTCTCCTTGCATTCCCCTGCATAGTGACCTTTCTTTCTGCATTTGTAACGAATATCTTCTTCGCTTGCCTCTCTTTACACGAAAGGTGTCGTCATCTTCTTCCCCGTGTTGGGACTTGCTCTCCCAATCGAGCAATTATTTGCTAGATAGCTTGATCTACAGCAGTCTGGTTCATTAGGGTTCCCAAGCGGTCTCCATGGTCGACTCCTTATAACCATTCTCACGTATTTCTTTGATCTGTCCGCAGCTCTGTGCTCCTCAATCTTTTGATAACTCTCAGCAGCCAAGGCGGCTTTGACTGAATCCTCTAAGGCGCTTGGCTTTGCCCTAAAATTGGTTCCCTTATCTCTTTGCTGGACACTGAATCCTAATGTCCTCGTGCCAACCGATCCCTTTCTTCCTCTAAATACTCAGGGTACATGTAGGCAAACACTGCCCTAAACTCCTTTAATTATCGTTTTCTTTTTGGCGACGGTGCTGAAGCTCCATCAAGTGTTATTCCACCTGTTGGCCCGCACCAAACATCCAACGAACGAGTCAAATCCTGGAAGGAATACTTCTTTCCTCCCGTCTGACAGCCCAACTCACTTAAGGCCGGCCCCTGAAGACTTGCAAGACGAGAAGAAACACTTTTACTCGCTCATCACTCCATCCATTGGCCACACGGCAGTCTGTGAAGTGTGCCTTATAGCATAGAAAGAGAAAAAAAACTTTCAGGTTTATCCAGCACTGGATCAATAGACGAGAAGGGGCATTAGAGCACGTACCGCAGTGTTATAGAGTACTTTCCATGTGAACGAGTACTGTTCCATGAGAACGAGTACTGTTCCATGAGAACGAGTTCTGTTCCATGAGAACGAGTACTGTTCCATGAGAACGAGTGCTGTTCCATGAGAACGAGTGCTGTTCCTTGAGAACGAGTGTTGTTCCTTGAGAAAGAGTGCTGTTCCGTGAGAACGAGTGCTGTTCCTTGAGAACGAGTGCTGTTCCGTGAGAACAAGTGCTCAGCTGTTCCATGAGAACGAGTGCTGTTCCATGAGAACGAGTGCTGTTCCTTGAGAACGAGTGCTGTTCCTTGAGAACGAGTGCTGTTCTGTGAGAACGAGTGCTGTCATTGCATGAGTATGAATACGAAGAACATTTTTCTCCAGAGTATAAGTACAGAAAAAGTATTAGAATACGAGTACCACAACACTGCCACGCCGTAGGCCATGAATTAGTCCTGGAAATGGTTGCAACTTACGAAATATCGCGCGGTTCGCTGCAAACGGACTCGTTCTGGCAACACCCTTTATTACACTTTATGAATTCCCGTCTATTGCGAAATGTTAAATAACTAGCCCAGACACAAGCATAAGCCTTAACCCCAAGTTATAATGTTTGTTTTCATCCGCACTAGGCACAAGTCAGTGGTTGGAGATCACGCTGCGATCCAGCCGGGTCCTATGCAAACTAGTGACAAAGGTTTCTGACGCCGTGGAATGCCATTGAACATGAAAGCCTTTGCATGGACAGCGATGCTCGGGAGAAATGAGTCTCCTCCGCAGACACAGGCGTGATGTCATATAGAAACGAATTAGTGTGTCAGTTTAGATGTTAAAAACAAACATATGTGAATCAACGTGTAATAGTTTAGGAACACAAAGTAGTATTATAGTACATGTGGTATATACATTATAGTAGTATATATATTATAGTATTATAATTAATTTGTTTAATGGCAAGGGAAAAGAGAACGACAACCATTAATTGCGGTCAATAATTTCCTTCTCATTTACAGCTTAAAGCAACAACTCTGGACTTCATCTGCTACGGAAAACCACAAATACACAAAGCAAACGCTTTTGCTACTGAAAAGTTACTGTCGCTATATAGGGCCACAGAAATTAGTCGACCGTTCGAAGACAGTTGAAGCTCCAGTACGGGATACATATACGGTAAGCAATCACGGCAGAATTTACGGTTGGCGATTACAGAAGAATGTTTAGTCAATGTACCGAGAAAAATGAAATTCTTAAAATTAATCAACATTGAGAAAAAAACATATTATGCAAGTGGACAATGGAATACACTGCACAAGAGATTTGTTGAACAGTGCAGTTAATATGCAGTTCATGTAACCGACGTCACACCTTAGTATATTGTGGCTCAAAACAGTGTAAGGCACGTCAGGAAAAATGGTCAGGTCTGAGGCGTGACATCTGGTGGAGGCTATATTTAGAAAATGACCTAACAAAGCGCAGTTGTAATTTCTGTGCCGACATCGGTATTCATTCTGTGAAAGACAACCTGTTACGCTACTTGGGTACTCTGGCGTGAGGTAAGTTTGTTCACAAAAGTCTGACTTTCACCTAGCATTCTATTTTTTGTCTTATAAACCATTGGATAATGAACAAGTTATGATCGTACGAGCCTCTAGGGAGAGGAAACTAAAGAGAATCTGGGGATGCAACATGAAGATTTGTCGGAGCAGCCCTGGCTATTATGTGATAGAGGAAATCACAAGCAGGAAATAAACTCTGATTTCATATCTGCCAATTTTAATTCTTTGAAACGTGAGCAAATATTACCTATAACTTTGTAACAGACTGTTTCACACCTTTCTCACGCAGATCGTAGACGCAATTGCTGTAAGGATAATGAACACCAATTACCCTCCACCTGCCTATGTGGCCCAGCCCAGTGGCCAACAGCAACTGGTTAGTCTCTCATTGCAGTGATGGGATACGATAAAATAGTAACTTGGTTGTTATTTTATCATGTGGAAATGTCATGTCTTTTTAGAGTAGGAAATATCATTTCAGGTTCCTAGATGTCCAAAAGAAAGTGTAACTGCGGAGTAGTATTCCCTTTAAGATCAAAGTCAAAAATTGTGGGGAAACAGTGTCGCAGACGGGAGAGTACCGGATAAGGATTTGTTATTGATGGAATTTCTCAGCAAAGGGAAATATTCAGATCGTATCAGCAAGTTAGCCGGACGTGGGAACTTGTGATGGGTTTGTTGCTCGGAATGAAAGGATTAGTGGCTGTGCCAATCCCTTGTGGCTTCAGTTTTCACCGAAAAAAGGGAATGGCAGGAGATTTAAAATCCTGTTGTTTCAGACACGTAAAAATGGCGTTTCACTTGTACCCCTAATACACACACTCCATACGTATTCCATGTTCACTGTCTGCCATTTATCGCAGGCATTTATGCCTACTCATGCATGTTTGTAGATACACAAAGGCACAAAAGCAAGTTCAAGGCAGCTAAACGACACACAAATTTTACCTCAATCATATGTGAACCACTTCAGCTCGTGGGAAAATTGTGTCCCTATATTTATTTATTTATTCCATTCCTTTACCCAGGTTATACCCAAAGAGTTAAAAACTGGTTTCCATTTGGGCCCTGATATAATGGTACACTCACATCACAAGATGTTTGAACATACAATGAACACTGAAACAAAATAAAATAATTTCAACATATGTGTACATCATAGAATAAGCAAATGAATCTGGCACTAGTAAAATAAAACAAATTTAATTCATATTGTAAAACACAAATTGAATTGCTAATGTTATCAATATGAAGAAACCCATTTGGAAGAATAGGGAAATTCCCATCTGGCTCTAGTATACTTGATAAGTGTGTTGGTATCCTAGCACTATGACTATATATACCACTTCACTAATAAAATCATAATTATGCACACATGCGAACAAATGGCCTTGGCGGCAAAAAGTGTGAGCCGTGCCCTGAAAACGTACAGGGGTGCGATTATTATCATTTTCTCTCAGGTTTTCTATCTTTGTTGAGTTTTTTCTTCAGAAAATCCCGGGCCTTACGTAAAAAAGTCAAGTTGGCAGAGACTTAACCAACTCCAACGCTGTTAACTTTTCTCATATTGAATCCTATTCAGACGAGCCACGTCTAATAAAAAAGGCACATCCCAATATCTCCCTTCCAATACACGTTTTTGTGTTAGTAAACATTAATAAAAAATAGTTTTTGTACCCATTTTTCCTGCAAGTCCAGTCTGCTATTGTAAAAATGGATTCGCCATTACGATTCGTTAGCTTCTAATGAATATTGATTTCGGTGATGTATTACTGTGGAGAGGAAATACACAGTGCGTGCGAGGCATGCATAGCACGCGTAGCCGCCGACGACAGGACGAACTTGAAGAATGTTCTTATTCTTCGGAAACTCGAAGAATTTCAATCCCAGTTCTTTTGTAGAATTTCTAGTACATCCAACAATGACGCACGATTTCGGCATTATTGTAAACGGGAAAATTTATTTATTTCGACGGGAAAAAGAGATAAAGCAGCACACAGACCTTTCCATTGTACGCGGTGCACGCACATGTAGCTCCATGTTCATGTACGTTCGTAGCGGAACCAGTCGTGCCACGGATACCAGTTTCGATGTTTTTCTCCGGTATTACATATACAAATTTCGTTTCTCAACAGCACCGCCAGCAGTCAGATTGTGTGAATGTTTCATGAAACTCGAAGACACATTCAAAGGTTTCTGCAAAATTACAAAAAATACACTTACAGACACGATTTGATAATGAATACATGATTTGTTACACACTAAACACAATAATAGCTTATTTTCAAGACTTTTAAAATCGTTGGAGTTGGTGTTTAATTCCCCTGAACAGGCAGCTCTGTGATCAAATAACAGAAGCATGGTTTCTAATCATCACTTCATTTCCTTTGCTATTCTTTAACGAAGCCAAACCATTAAGAGTATACAGTGTCATTTATACATATACCTCAACTCTTACATGAGTGCATACAGACTAACATTGTACATGTGTGGATACAATGCAAGAGTATTATAAAACGGTAGAAATATGTACGCAGTACAAAGTACAAAAAATGGGCAGTTTAGTTTAATTGAATACAAACACATAGCATTTCAAAGCAATAATCCCACGTAAGGTTCTGATACTGATAAAACTCTAAGTTGAAATGAGCCCGATGAGACATACCATCATACCTTTGCTGCCAAAGGCAAGGAAATTGAAAATTAGTGGACGGCCGGACGGCCGTACGAATAGCCGTACAGAAATAAGTATTACAATATGGACTCCCATTTGCATCGCAGCTCGCCAAAAAGTCCCTTAAACCATCTGACCCCGGTATTTCTTCGCTATGTGAGGGCAACACAACACTTCGGGGGATGATTGCAGCAAATTAAACCGAACACCCTGCCCCCCTCGAGCTAATGTCCCAAAGTTTAAGTCGGCACTGCTTCCGTTTTGGAGAGGGGACGAAGGAAACTTGGACAAAAACACGTTTAAGACACTGTGACGACATGAATACTTTACAATGATTTTTAACTTTATCCTGTTTGATATTAGTGTCTCTGAAGGGGCTCGTTAGAAAGGATTCCTCTTCCGGCTATTACGCTGGTGCAATGCTCTTGTTGCATGTTTGATTCCTTTGCAGCAAGTTGTAATAAAAGATGAACTTTCCATCGGGCAGATGTTAATTCTAATAACCAGTTTTGCCCTTAAGCCGACGCACATGCACGTATATGTATGCATATGACGTGCTTAATTTTGATAATCGGTTGGCATTCCACAGTTGATGCGGGGCTGCTGTATATTGATATTTTGGAATCCACGTTATTGCAATGAGCCTCAATGACACGCTGGTAACTGATTTCTCAGTGACGTTGTGCAACTTATCAGAGAACGGACAAACGATGACAGTGAGCCTTGATCAGTATTTTAGCCGAGACCGAACCCACTGAGTGCCTCCCTCCAGAAAAACAGGCCCTCAAGTGCCCCCTTAAGCCACTAACTTTTGTTCAGCGGTGTCGAAAAGGGTAAATCCGACAATATTCAGACAAGGCTGGCCTCACATTATAACTGGCCAGGGAGGCACACGTGGGCAGGAGTATTAGCGAAGTGTTGGGCCAGTGCACGCAAACAATTCCTGGAAAAAGAAGTAGTTTTCACTTCTGCCATGTTGTCTTTTTGGGTACATTATCGTAGTTCGAGGATTTTCCAACATGCAGGCGCGTATCCTGGACTTTGTTTTTTATTATGGATTTCAATCCCTCGTTTCTTTGGTATGAGCAGCATATGCGGGAATAACACTGTGGTCACATTCTAGCATCTATTTTCTCCATCCCTGCCTTTTACGAGGTATTTTTTACCTTCACGATGTTGCACTTATCCTTCCGACTTTGACTTAAATTCTGCATCCCGTTGCATTCCGACCCTTACACCCCCGGATTGAGCTACCGTACAAGTTACAGGCATCCTGAATGTGTCTGACTTAGGTGATGACTCAGCCGGCTCCATCAGTGGTAGTAAACCAGTCTCGAGAAGGAAGCTGGAAGACCATAACAAGCACTGGAATAACTCAGGTCGTTCTGGGCTCCTTGACCATCATTTTTGGAATTGTCAACCAAACGGCTTTGAAGAACTATTACCGAAACGACATCGGATCTCCCATTTGGTGTGGTCTCCTGGTAAGTAAGAAAAACGCAACACTTAAAAAGTTCTTGTCATTTTGTGTGTTTTAAAATTTTTTAACACCGATGCTTTCATTGGTACATGTACGCGAGCAATCTCTTGTGTAGCAATCGGGATTTCCTGTTCAGTGCATTAAATTGTCATAAAAATGACAGATGAAAGGTAAAAATAACATCCGGACCGAGGGAAATTGGCATCATTCTCTTAAAATCAACTCGAAAAAACGAAAAAGAAAACTTTAGTTATGGATGAGGGTATCAGTTTTGCAGGTCTATATTTCCGTCAAATAAAAGCTCATGTTTTATCCTTAATTTCCTAAAATCCATACTTGTTAATTGGTGTTTTTTAGTTTTACGTTGTGGCTGGAATCTTGGGCATAGTGTCTGGAAAGAAGAGGAGCCGGGGTGTGGTAAGTTGTCAGAAGTCTCCCCACCTAGAGTGAGTTAAGTCTACTACTGCATACCTACCAGATTACCAATACATATGCATTATTTCCTTGTCCATTACTTCCATTCGCTAAATTCTCGATCACCAGTAGTACGCTCGAACCCCGCGAAGGCGACCGCCATTTTCATTCGCTTTCTTGATGCGCAAAGTGCGCCAAGGCCGCGTGGGGAGGAGGGAGGGAGATTGGTAATCTGGAAGGTATGCAGTGGTAGATCCAACCCACTCTAGGTGGGGGAGAGTCTACTGCCTTCAACCTACGCAGATTACCAATGCATATGCAAAGTAGCGCTGAAATCATGGACGGTGGGAAGGCGAGGACGTATCAACATCGACCCACCACCAAAGAATTAATACAGATACCTGTACAAAACAATGATAGAGCATGTTATCAGGAGAAGAGCACAAACCAATTCACCATGACATATGCTTGAGTGCATCCTCTTGCTACGGTAGGGGACGGTACGCAGATGAGCTACTGCGATGCCGTCCGGAGTACAGTCACTCCATGTGTATGGTCCCTCTGCAAAACGTCACTGAGATGACATGAGGTGAATGTGGTAGGGGTCTTCCAACAAGCAGCTTTGCAAATGTCTATCACAGAAACCCCTTTGAAATAGGCCACTGATGATGAAACGTCACGGACGTAATGGGTGCGAATATACCGTCTACACTGGTCATCTGAGCCAGAAGGGTACTCAACAGTACCAACCTTAATAGCCGAAACCAGCACCTCGCAATCGTGTCTCTGGAGGCCGGACGATAGGGTCTGGTGGATGTGATTGACAGCTGTGTAATTGGCCCCGAATGTCCTTCGTCGATTTAGGTACCACTTCAGTATGCGGACAGGACACCAAAGTTTATCTGACGAGGATGACGCCAAGGACTGGATCGCCAGAACGAAGATATCCAGGCGATGGAAGGATGGAGTTCGATTTTTAGTGAGGAAGCCTAACTCTGGAACAAGACGTACACCCAGCGGCTCCCATTGGATGTGTCCGTCTGCTGTGGAGAGGGGTTTGATTTCAAAGCCCAACGAGAAGTCACCACAGCCAGTAAAAATGCCAGTTTGATGGTTATGTGCAGGAGGGAGGCGAAAGTTCGAGAACATTGATGTGGGAACCCGTGAGGGACGGGTCCCACTGGCCGGAGATCTGGTTCGGTGGGAGACTGACGCCCCAACATAGGTTGGAGTCATCGGTTGTGATAATTACCTCGTGCTGAGGTGAAATGAGGGGAAGACCGACAGTGAGGTGGCCCTGACCAACCACCAAGACAGGTGACGATAAATCAGATCCGACAATGGGACTTGGCGGTCGAGGGAATCTCTGCTCGGCTTGAGGTAAGAAAGAAGGTGAAGTTGGAGAGGCCGCCGCGGCATTTAAAGCCGACACCACGGGACGAGATCGACGAGGCTGGCAATCAACCCGAGAAGATGAAGCCACGCCCGATCGTTCACGCGGTAATGCCCCCGAAACAGAGGGACGCACTGGATCAGATTGTCCACACGCTGGTCGGTGGGAGTTACGATGCCACGGCGCAAGTCGAGAACGGCCCCAAGGAAGGTTGGCGTTTGTGACGGGATCGGTCTGGACTTCTTGTGGTTGATCAGGAAACCCAGGCGAGTGCAGGAACGTACGTCGCCGTTGTCGCCGAAGTAGCCTCGACCTCGGAACCAATCGTCTAGGACCTGGAAGATCAGGATGTCGGAATGACGCACTGGGCTGACACCGCCCGAACCACCCTTGTGAAATTCTAGGAGGGGTGAAAAAGGCCAAAGGGTAGGGCGCAAAACTCGTCAACCAGATGGCGGTACGAAAAACGGAGGAATCGGTGATCTTGAATATGAATGGGGTTGTGTAGACAGGCGTCCTGTATGAGCTGGAATGGGAACAGCCCGCTTAACAGTACGCAGAAGTTCTTTGGCCGGTTGTTGAGCGGCTTCAAATTGAGGACTGGTTGCCCCTTCCCGGGTTTTCTTTTTGGAACGAGAAAGAACGTTGACATGAATCCTCGTTGAGCACAATCTGGTTGAACTGGTAGAGTGGCGCGCTTTTCCATCAGAGCTGGGATTTCCGAGCCAGAGCCTGTCGCTGGGATGGGTCTTTCAGGATTGGAGTTAGTCAGAATAATTGTTAGACGGAGAGTGACTCGTGAACTCCAAACGGTAGCCGTAGGTGAGAGAATCCTGCAAAGTCTACAGGGCGTCCGTCTGTCTTATTCACTGTCTTATTCCCTAGGTGAGCAAGGACCAAAACGACCGCACCACTGTCCTTACTAACCGGCGATCCGTGGCCCGATCTGCACCCCTCCCACCAAAAATGTGGTATCGCTGTTTCTAAAATAATGTCATTTTTAATTAGTCAAACACAAAGAAAAAGATATAGCAATGTTTACAGGAGGGCAACTTGGACTTGTTCAATGCATTGAACAAGTCAAAGCTTTTAATGCCAAAAGTAAGGCTATTCAAGCTGGAAGGTTTCGAAGGGGGGGGGCTGCAAAATGGCAGCCTGGAACCAAATTCAGAGGGTAAGCCTAGCTTTTGGAAGAATCATTCCGTCTCACGCTATTCTGCCCATCTTTGAATGTAGACCTGCGTCACATCTCAGGCATATTTAGTGTCGTACTTTCACATGCATTAAACTAATCAGATTTGTTAATGATTCCTTTTTCGTGCAGGCTATCGCTTACATGGTCATGTCCATCTTGGCTTCTCTGTCTGCGATTTGTGTCATCGGCTTCAGCGCCGCTGGACTGACATTTGTCAATGGATATTATTGCCGTTATCACTACTTTTATACGGACGTATGTGACTTGAAGGTGAGAACTTTATCTTTTCGTGTGTCAGTGCGGTAGGTCTGATTTTCCTATGTTATCAAGGAGACCATTTTCTGCCTATGAATTCATTACTTTCCAAAAGACGGGCGATGTTTTCAAATGAAAATCACCACTTTAAAAGACAATTTCGCCAGACTATCATTGAATGTGACTGGGTTTTAAAATTTAAGAAAGTACTTCCTGGCGCAGGCTGTAACAAAAGGCTAATGTTGAGAGGATTAGGCATCACAAATGTTTTACACTTAGTAGGGTTAAAGATGCAAAAGGCCAAATTGACCCGAAACATAAGAATGGTTCGAGCGGCCAACACGAAACCAGAACCGACTCAACCGAACATAATGTCATATATAAATAATGACTTTAAAAACCAACCCGGTCTCGGTTTCGGGTTGGGTTTTTACAACAAAAGCCACGACACAAAAATTTCAAAATTTGCCCAATTTCGCTCAGGATGCTTTTCACTCTCAGTAACGCCAATTGCACCATTTTGGTCTATGTTTGTCCAGAAAGCTTTCATTGGTGTGTATGCCACGCTCATACTTCTCGCTGTGGTGGAATTTGTTATTTCCATCATTGGGGCCAGCATGACCTGCAGTCCGCTCTGCGCTACTACTCCAGTGACGCACACTGTGGTGAGTAACTGCCCACATGGGCTCTTGGACACAGGTGCACTTCGTGAAAATACACCTCAGTAACCGATTTCATCTTACTTTTACCATTTAAAGGGGCACCGTTGTGGTGCCTTATTCTTATATGCTAATAAATTAGCACATTTATAGCGACACGTGTTATGTCACTCGAGAATGAAACCTTTCAGTGCTACCTTTATTTCATGCTGCAGAGATATCAAATATAACGTTGGATACTTTTGATGAATAGCCAGTAGCGTGTGCGTGATTTCCTCAAATCATATCGCAGCAACAGAGCCCAAATTTGTCGGGACAAGCTGGAACGTTTTCATTGAGTACAACCTTACGCAAAGTTTGTTGCAAGAGCCACTTGAACCATGGGAGTTTTCCGATATTTTGGCTGAGTTTTTTAAGGACCAGCCATCCCATAAATGTTGCGTAATGCTTTCATCTCGTCAATTCTATGTCCTTTCCTTTTCTTACTTCATCACCCACATATCACAAAATTAACATATAGGTTTTTCAAGCAAGTGGTTGTGAAAATCAGGCAAGTTAGATTCAAAGAGTATTCCTTAAAACTCAAATGACTAAAAAATAAGAATTTAAATTCATCATGGCCAGAGCCAAGTTCACATATGATCAACTGCATTCATGCGTTGGTAACTGGTACTTCAATACACTATTGGATAAAATAATAAGTGTAATTAATTAAACTCGATCAAAATGTTCCGTTCAATAATTGACGTGTGTAATAATGCGAGATGGTATTTAAGACATTAAAGGATTGTTTGTTCAATTTGATTCAAGCAGCTACTGATAATAGGTAGGCCATTTATTCCCACTTTACGGAACGTACAGATTCAGTATCAAGTCCCACAACAGATGATGGTCGCTGGCCAACCCCAGGGTACAGTTGTCTACAATACTGGCCAGCCAATTGGCGGTAAGGAATACCTGTAATATGCAGTCATAGTTCCCCGAGATGTGATAGTAAGTAAAAACGTAAACAACTACACGGAGTTACTTTGGCTTACTGCTCGTCAGATTTGTTTTGCTGTGTTCTGGGTCGTCAGTCGGTTTTGTATGTTGTGGTGCCTCTTGAAATGTTTGTAGAAGTATTTGTGCTCAATGAAACTACAGCCTGATCTTGTTTACCGTCGGAAGAGACACGGTTCATCTTATCCTATCCTCTTTCTCCTTTCATGCAGCCTACCAGGTGCAGCAGGGGCAGTATCCTCAGGCGCCACCAACCGATCAGCATCAGTACCAGGAACTCGCCAAATAAGGTCAAGCACGTACGACCCTTGACACACTTTCAAAGAAGGAATTGTTGACACATATGTACCATTACGATTTTTCGCCTGCTTCCATTATTACATAGTTATTGTGAATAAAGGCAATAGAGGGTCATTATATGTCCTAGCTTGTGTCTTAAACAGACAATCAAATATAAGAGTGTACCAAAGGAGATAAGGTACCCTGTATAGTTAATCAAGAGATGCGTATACTGTATATCCACCGCAATTCGTAAGCACCGTAATTCGTAAGTGGCTTGGATTCTGGTTATCTTAGCTTCGGAACTCCTTCTGGTTTGCGTGTAATAGCAAAGCCTAAACATTTTACAATTTGGTGAAATCCATGTAGGCCATCAGTAGTCCAGCGTTGTTTTACCTGGACACCAGAGTCGTTCAGTTAACACCAACTAAATACCACAGTTGCTCTTATGGTGCAGGCTTAAAAATGCATTTTGAGTTTAACAGCATTACTTTCTTGACTTTAATATGCATATGTGTGGGTGCAGGCTCAGTTTAATAACATTGAAATTCCTATTTGTAGGTTACAGAACTGTGTAGAGACATCATGTGCGGTTCAGACAAGATGGTTCATTCTGTAACTTTGCAGTCCAATTTTTCCCTGCCCATCTTGCATCTGCCTTTGTTTTGTAAGTTTAAAACACATTCTAAAATTTCCAAGACGGATTCATTTATTCAAATTAGCTGCCAAACGAATAAAAATACTTTGACGTCAATTTCAATCTCTCGTGAATTCACATGGGTCAGGTGTAATAGCGACAGGAAAATGTCACACATCAGACATCACATGTACAGAAGACACAGAACGACTTGGACTTCAAGATTACATATTTGGCATCGCGGTATACAAGGGCAGATTATTGAAGGTTCTATATTGTTTTGTGGTTTTAATTGTTTTGTGATTACTAATGTTAAGAGAGGTAAAGCAAATCGTGCAAATTCATGAGCACATGTTTCGTAACAAAAACCTGGTATCAGTGAGGTTGCATGATGGCACTTTTTCTTGAAAGAATGTTGATTAACTCTTAATTGCAATGCGTTTATTCTTCCACTTTGGATGCTATTTAAAACTCAATTCCTATACTTGAAGCGCAAAATCACATTGTGATAAAAACATCTTAAGTGAAAATAACGTCAGAGAAGTTATGAACACGTTATGTCGTTGTTTTAAGTGTCATTACATTGTACAGAAAACGGACGGTATAACAAAACAATAATTATCCAAGAATATATGGCGAAATACAAAGACTAAACAAAATACGATTTACTCCAGATGGTTTGTTTTTTCAAAATATACTCAGACATCAATATGTGAAAAGGTAGGAGATGCAATGTTTATCGTCTCAGATAGTACAGTTGTAGTTTAATATTTAGACATATCATTTGGCTTTCGTTTAAATCAAAATAGGAAAGGACCTTGTTGCTACTATTTTTATACATTCCTTAAATTTCATTTTCATAACTCAGACTTTTCCTGTGTTGCTTTCATAATGCCAACTCGCATTAAGTGTGGAATTTGCTAAAAGTATTCTTTATCTGATTTCAATTAAGACAGCGAGACATGGTAAATTTGATTATTGCAATATCATCATGTGAGCCGTAGGTAAAGAACGTCTTTCTGACAGAAATCATTTTCTCGGGAAAGTTTTCCTGGACGTTGACATTACAGTGTACTCTGTAAACCCTCAGTGTACTGGAAATAAACTTCGCATGTTCCACAAATAGATTAATCAAATAAAAACAAATGTCTATACGGCAGAACAGGCCTATGTTTTTGTCTCTACATTAGACAACATTCCTATAACAAAGTCAAAAAACTGTTTAAATGCAAAATGGCCTTCCACGGGAGGGAACGGAAGATTCGATGACTGAATTACGTCGTACTACTTGGTTAGATAAGTTAAGGCAAACTGACATTCTCATGTCCTCTAAAAGTGTATGACGCTGACATGTCAGCTTGGTTTGTTGATTGAATCTGTGTAGAACAATGGACAAGTGATGATCGTATGTAACTTCAGGCAGAGAAAACTGAAGATAATCTATATATAATGAAGATAATCTAGGGATGCGACGTAAACATGTGATGCGGGAAATCAGAGCCAGAAGTAGACTGTTGTGCCTAATCCGATTTCATATCCACCAGCATTTAATTTTTTGAATGTCACGAAGCCATTTTTTTAAGCGTCTTTATTTTACTTGTGTAAGTTTAGTTTTGCAAAACTGGGTTGGTCATAGTCGTCCGTCCAGTGGTCACGGTCACAAAAAAGGGCCTGAGGTGCGCCGAGGCGGGGAAATGGTCAATTGGTTTTTTTGGTCCTAGGGGTTTCTGGGATCCATTGTTTCGCTTGGGCGTTGCAGATTGCTGCTGCGCAGGGGCAGAACATTATTGCTTCCGACACAGAGCGTTGGCTGTTTCGGGCATAGCCGAGATACTGCCGGAGTGTTTTTCGAACCTAGTCCGATCGTTTGCAGGCCAAAATTTGCTGTGATGGTTTGAACCAATTTCTTGTTCCATCGTGCTGTCCCAAATGCTGCATATCCTGTAATTTGTATGCTGTAAAGGGCATTGCACAGGCGCCCTCCCTATCAGCCGATAAGCAGTAAAGTGTCGAGACGACTGTAAGTAATTATATTTCATTTAATGAATTATTATACATATTTGCATTTCCTGAATGATAAAATTATCATTAAGAACTCCTTGTGACCAATAGGTTGAGTTTGTATGAGCATAGTGAATTATTTCCCCGATCTGATTTTGATAATGGAAATTGAGTTGAACAAGATAGGGCCTACGGTATGCTATTGCCTCGTAGCTCTAGACGAGTTTATGAGTCTGTCCTTTGTACAGAAATGGACTACAAACGTAGATGGATTAATATTATTATATTATTATTATGAATGGTTTATTTATTTTAACTGTATTCCTCGCCGCCAGGGGCAGAATTGTGAATACAATTTACATGTACATTAAAACAAATAAATATACAATAATATGTACAATTACAAAAGAAAAGGGTATTAAAAACCTAAAAGCCTTAAATTTCTACAAAGCCTTGGAGTAAACAGGGACATTTTGATCAATAATACATTCTAAAAGGGTTAAAATTAAAATGACAAAAAATTGAATCAACGGAAATCAAAATTTGTTTACAAACATTAACAATGTACTTGGACAAAAGGGCA